TGAATTTCATATAACTTTTACATGTCACAAATATTATTCTTTAAATTTTTTCAACCATTTAAAAGTTTAAAAACCAAATATTAGATAACGGGCCATACCAAAATAGGTGGTTGATTGGATTTGGCCAGTGAACCATAGTTTACCCAGCCCTACTCTGTATCTTGCTACAACAACAAACAAACAAACAAACAAAATGTAGAAAAGCAGCTAATAATATGATTTTTAAATAATATTGTAATAGCTTAATGAAAAATTTTAAATAATCACTTTATATGTGGGTAACAAGTAAACACTAAATACCAATTAATACTGGCGATGAAGTAAAATAACCAAATTAATAGTTTACCTGTCTACTTAGCTTTGATTACTGAAATAGCAACATTGTGTAAGAAAGTTTTATTGTCTTAAAAGTTTTAAATAAATGCAAGAACAAAAGCTGAGAATTGGTCTCTTTTTTTTTTTTTTAAGTAATAAAATGGAAATATACGTTCACACATCTGGTTGCTTTAATCAAATGTTGTTGTTGTTTCTCACTGCCACTGAATTGGCCCACAATTCATGCAACCTACGCATAATGGGATTGGACCACTGAGATCCATAGGGTTTACACTGGCTGAATTTTTTGGAAGTAAATCACCAGATCATTCTTTCCAGTCTGTCATTAATCAAATAAAAGTGCTTAAATAATACAAAATATTGTTTTCAGAAATCTCTAGTGTCACTAAGAAAACCCTACAGTCTAAGACAGCATCTCATCCCTGTACCACACTCCATGAAAGAAAATTGAAACAATCACACCTCCCTCTTCTTTGACAACAAATTAACAAATTCTAAATACTACACCAAATACTCTACAACTTAATAATTCAGTTCAGAGCAGGGAACCAAATGCACTGATTGATATTGGTTATGTCTAGGAAAAGCAATTAAAAAAAAAAAAAAAAGGGACAGAAAGACTGGAGCAACCTGTAGCAATAACTGGAGAGATGAAGAAACAAGCAGTAGGTATTTAATATGAAAAGGTGAACCAAAAATAAAAACAAAATAGATTTACTTTTCAAGTTAAGGAAGCAAACAACCTCCTACCTGAGATGCAATGAATTACCTGGTGTGGCTTTTCTAGGCTAGTCTTTGTAACTCCCACAGGATTACTGGGTGGGACCACGCACATAAAGTGTGTAGAATTCTGATGTTAGGATTGGTTAATTTTGTCGTTCTGCCAGGCTTAAAATGAGCCCTCCTAGAGACAGAGGAGGGAATCTCACTGCCATCAAGAGAAAAGAGCTGGATTGAAGTGGAGCGCATCTTTGGACTCGAGACCCCTGTGCTGGACCTCCTTGGCTCAGAGATGCCCAGTGGAGAGATGTCCTGAGGAAGAGATATCCCAGTGTAGAGATGTCCTTGCTAGTGGAGAGACGGTGACAGTAGAACCAAGAGGCACAAGACAGAGTGGCAGGCTTACCTGGCCTACAGAGGCAGAGGCCAGAAAAACAGGACGTTAGGCCAGAAAGGAGTGTCTGAGGGCACAGCAGAGGGGAGAGTGTCCTGATCAAAGAGTTGTATCCTGAGAGTGTTCCTGAACTGTAGCCTGTTACTTCCTTAATAAACCCTATAAAAGTGTGTATTGTCTGTGAGTTCTGTGTGGCCATTGCAATGAATTACTGAACCCAGCAGAGAAGCAGTGAGTACCCTGGGATGGATGGTTGGTGTCAAAGTTGGTAAAAAGGATGGTGGGTGGTAGCATGTCTGGCCTCATAGGAACAACGCTTGGGCTGCTGATGGTAATTCTGTCTTCCTCTTGTGAAGTTAGAGGAGGTCAGAAGATGACGTCTCCATGTCCTTTCTTGTACAACCCAACTTTAAAATAGTGATCTTGATTGTCTACAACCATATATAAATAAAAGTGGGTGGTACAAATGGTTACCATACTTAGTTGCTAGCCAAAAGGTTGCAAATAGGTATCTCAGAAGAAATACCTGGTGATTTGCTTCCAAAAACTCAAGCCATTAAAAACCTTATGAAGCACAGTTCTACTCTGACGCACAGAGGGTTGTAATGAGTCAGAATTAAATCAACAGCAAGTTTGTTTGTTTTTTTTTTAACTGGTATTGTTAATAAGAACAACAAAAACAACTGAGTATAAGATAAGAAACTGTACATTATGTTTCGGTACTGCTAAGCACACCAGACTTGATATAAATGAAATGCTAAATGATGTCTCAACTACATACTGCTTAAATACAGTGAATTAAAATGTAGGATATTATATCTGATTCTCAAAGTTTGAATGGGAGGAATGGAATAACTGAGATACACAGTAATTAAAGATTACTTGAAATTCAACTATAAATATATGCAAATATTTCAAGATTATATAGGAATTTGATGCAAATGACTCAACGTAGTTAACTACCTGTCATTCCAACTGTGAAGAATCAAGCAACATTCTGGAAGATAAGCAGTGCAAAGAAGAACTATAAAATAGTTCTCCCTATTTTCTTTGGACTATCGCACTGTCAAAGGAGCTCTGGTAGCACAGTACCTAAAGGCATCTGACTGCTAACCAGAAGGTTGGTGGTTCAAACCCACTAGCACTCTGCAGAAACAAGATTGAGCAATCTACTTCTGTAAAGAAGTAAAAACTCAGTGGGGGTCACTATAAATCAGAATCTACTAGAAGGCAGTGGGTTTAGTTTGGATTTTGGTTATTACACTGTCAAAGACCTATCTAGCAAATCCTACAACAGTACCAACTGTACAGGCCCAGGAGACAAAGATCATCTACTTCTGACATCAGATTTTGTGGTAGGTAACAAATCTCACTCTACTCGTCAGCTGTGAAATCTCAGCTTCCCTTCCCTGTTCAGATCCCAGATGCCTACCCACAGCTCACTCAGCCACCCAGGGCTAGGTCAGCAGGTACTGGGCTACAAGCTCAGAAACCCATATGACTCCCTCCATACATCAGGCCAGCAGGTCCCAAACCTAGAGTTTTCCTGTATCCCCCAGAGTATCAGTCAAAGCTTGGGAGTCCACATGAATCCCTCCACTTCAAACCAACTGGCTCTCCTTGCTCCACTGGGTATGATAATTCACTGTACTAGCTCACAGAGCTCATGGGAGATACTATACCTGAAATAACAGCTTTTAATATAATGAAAAAGGATACAAATGAAGAGATACATAGGGTGAGTTCTGGGAGCTCAAAACTCTGTGTTCTTTAGCACAGAGGAGCTTCCATGTGCTAATGATGGAGGCACTACCCTTTCCGAACCCATTCTCACCAACCAGGAAGCTCTCTAAGCTCCATCTTTCAAGGTCTTTATTGGCTTCACCAGGTGGCCATGATGTATCATGCCTCATGAGGCTTAGTCAGTATCAGGATCTCAGGTGAGCCTCTGTCCTCAGAGCTCTAAGGAGTAAGATTAAAGGCCAACTGGCTTTAATCCAATACCTTACAACTAAGCGTATTTACTTTATGAGGTTCTGATTAAAATAAAGCCAAGCGTAATATATATTAACTCAGTAAACATATACTAGAAAGATCAATAATACCAAGGATAAAAGCCTCCCCAAAAGTTACTTCCTGGAGGGGTGGGGCTAAAAAAAATGTTGCTCGCCTATTTCATCAAAAACATGCATATGTGTAAAACTGTAGACTTTCTCAAAAATGAAAATAATCCACAATTAGCTTAACACTTTGTTCTTGTTATGTGCCGTCGAGTCGGACCCGACTCATAGCGACCCCTCCTTGGGTTTCTGAGGCAGTATCACTACAGAAGTAGATTGCCTCATCTTCCTTCTGAGGAGTGGCTGGTGGGTTTGAACCGCCAGCCTACTCTAAATAATCCTAAATTTAACTAATATTTACCTCAATTATATACCACTGCTCAACTACATTTTAATCTTTTATAATTGATAGGCATCATAAAGATTTTTAAAACACTCAAAAGTATTCTCCTTAAGATCACAATAAGGAAAAAACAACGTATCTAAATTTTTACAAAATAATACTGCTCTTCCTTAACTCACCAGAATGTTTTATAGAACAAAATAGAATGCATAAGAAAATATTTATGCATATTTGAAAAAGGAGAAACTATGCAAATTAAAACCAATGACAATCACCATTAAATTAATTCAGTGGAGAAAAAGGAAAATCTGTTGAAAAAGACCGTAGAGATAAAAATCAAAGATAAATGTGAAGAGAAAAAGTGCAAAGACAAGAAGGAGAAAAGTGGGGTTCTAAGTGATAAAGAACTCTGGTGGCATAGTGCCTAAGGCATTTGACTGCTAATCAGAAGGTTGGCGGTTCCAATCCACCATCCACTCCTCGGAAGGAAGATTAGGTAATCTACTTCCGTAGAGATACGCCTCAGAAACCCAAGGAGGAGTCGCTATGAGATGGACTGGACTCAACGGCAGTGAGTTTGGTTTGGTTTTGGTGATGGTGTAGTGGTTACAGAATTTGGCTAATAACCAAAAAGTTCAGTGGTTCAAACCCATGAGCCCTTTCACAGAACAAAGATAGTGCAGTCTGTATCTGCAAAGATTTACAGCCTTGGAAACCCAATGGGGGTCACTATGAGTCAGAATCAACTTGATGGCAGTGACTGAGAAGTGACAGAAAAAAGGAAGACCAAAAAAAAAAAAAAAATGTCTGGAGTTTTGTATAAAGTACGACCTTATTTAAATTTATATTTGGATTTATTTAAAACAAGTAGATGAAATTATTATAACCACATGTTCCTTTAAATAGTAAGTACAGAAATAATATGCTTAGCCTATAACACATAAATAAGCCAGCAAAATCAGACTGAATTGAAGGGTTACATGATTGCCACAATGTAATTAAGTACCAAATGTGCACCTGAAATTATTACTGCATCCAGAAAGCAAATAACATTTAAAAATTGCAGACATTAAGTTATATATAAGTGATACACATAACACAAAATTACACATAAGGATGAATTCATGGACTATCATAGTCCAATCTTTTTGCATTGGTTTGTTTAGACACGGCTTTTAATCTTTTTAAAGTTTTTCTAATCGCACCAGCATCAGGGAAAAGGTGATGACATGCAGCCCAGTAAGGAACTCCTGGATGTACTCCAGGTGAAATTCCTCTATAGATAAATATGCACAGTGACTTTCATTACTTTCTCTGAAGCAAAGCACAAGCAACGTAGCATAAGCAGAACATAAGCCATACCTTTCTTGAAGCCCTCGGCCATGCATTTCTCCTTTCCATTTATATTCATTATCTTCAGCTCTTTGCTGCTGCATTTGATCAAAAATAGCATGGTAATGTTCATATTGTCCTCGAGGAGAAAAAGACGGAGTGACTGCCCCTCCCCTGACAAAAAAGGGAGCCTAGGATTTAAACAAAGAGCTCTCACATGTTTATCTCATAAGGCCTACAAAGCCCGTAGTATCCTCAAAAGAAAAAAGTAATTTCCAACAATTGACTTTAAAAAAGCAATTACTTAATTTGTACACACTAATAAATACAAAACCCAAAGCAAAATGTTTTCCTACTATATTTTAACCATTAATAATCAAAGAGTAGTAACTTTGTTACTAATAATAAAACATAATATAATGGACAAAGAAAAACAATAAAATGTCACTAAATTCATTTAAATATGGAAAATACGGTCTTAATTAACAAGTTTTAAAACAAGCTTCTAAAATACATTTCATGATTATGTTCTATTAAGCTTAAATATGTATGGTTTTTAAACTAAAGGAGAGCCTGCTTTTATAACACTCAAAATTATACTTAACAAAATCATTTGTATATGGCATTTAATATACCCCAAATCCTTCAATTCACCAAGCACATATTAAGGTTCAAATACCATGAAATCATATCTTATGTATAGATGAAAGAAGCAAATCATATCTATCCTTAAGTACTTTACAATCAAGTTGGGAAAGAAAGTTCATAATAGAAAAACACCTCAAACTTCTGGTAAATGAATGATAATGAGGGACACTCTAAATAGTAAATACTGAACAAATTTACAAGGAGAAAAAAATTATTAGAAGTAAAATCCCTGAAAAAAAAGTTTAAATACCTAGACAAAAATAAATGCTGAACTTAGCCTTGAAAGCAATATAACAAAGAAAGATACAAGTCAATGCAATAAAATAAAAATAAGCAATGTATGCATGTATTTGGATGTTGTGAGAGAGGAAGTATGAAGGACAGATATAATCAAACAAATATGATTATAAGGAAGGCAAATAAAGAATGTTAACCTTGTCAATAAAAGGCTAGTTGCTATCAAGTTTGAGCTCGTGTAATAAATAACAGAAAGCATTTATAAACTTTCTCATAGTAGTATACCAAATAGCTTTAAAAAAAAGGTCAAAAGTCAATAGACTAATTACACTGTTGCACTGACCTCAAGGCAGGAAGCCTAGAAATAAAGGCAGTCACTGAAAAAGTTAAAATCATGAGGGCATTGTGGATTCTCTGCTGGAATGACAAGATAAAGGCAAAGATAAGGACTCAAGCACCTAAAAAACTCATACTTAGGAAATAAAGCTGTCATAAAAGGATAAAAGAATAAAAGCATATGATGCAAAAAAGTCATGGTAGAGTATCATTAAAAACAGAAAATCAGTAACACAAATGTAGAAGTCAAATGGCACTGAATATAAGACAAGTTTATACGTCTAAAGTTGCACAGCAGCCTTTAAACAATTAATTTATTTATAAATGATGAGAGCAGATGCTACAATGCTGAGAGTAAAGGAGGAAGAGTTTCCAGGTGATAAAACTTTAAGGAAGAAGTCTGACTAAGAAAAGATACAAAGATTCCCTTGTTTTCCTCTAACACAGTATCACTAAGGCAAAGGAAGACACTGAGAGGTGCACAAGAGTTGCAGACAACAAAGGTAAACACTATTACACACAGAATTCTGCAATATCAGTAATATCAAATAATAATCTCTATGAGGGAATCCATAGGCAGACATACAAGCTAAATAGATATGGGCAGGCAAACAGGACTATACCTACAACTATATGTAAGTTTGTTGTCATTGTTGTTATATGCCGTCAAGTCGGACCCAACTCATAATGACCCCTCCTTTGGTTTCCGAGGCGGTATCACTACAGAAGTAGATTGTCCAACCTTCCTTCCGAGGGGTGGCTGGAGGGTTTGATCCTCCAGCCTTCTGGTTAGCAGTCAAGTGCCTTAGGCACTACACTACCAGAGCTCCCATATATAAGTTTGGCAGAGGCTATATCTACAAATGTGTTTGTATATGCTGTAAATACATCCATGTATATGGCAGAGCAAACGGGGCAAAGTTATGAAACCTTCTTACCCATAACCAAACACACTGTGGGAATGAGTCACTGGGTTTGGGTACCTAGGACCACAGTCTTGAGGAACAGTTAAGTCAATTAGCATAAAATAAATCTCAAAGACAAGGTTTTGCATCCTACTTTGATGAGAAGCAAGTGGGGTCTTAAAAGTTTGTGAGAAACCATCTAGAATGCAACTATTGGTCTCTCCCCATCTGGGGAAAAGAAAACTGAAGAAAATTAAAGACTCGGGAAACAATTAGTCCAGTGTACTAATGGATCATGTCAGTTACACCTTCCATTGGCCTGAGAGCAGGAGAAGTAGATGGTGCCTAGCTACCACTACCACTACTGACTGCTCTGATCAGGACCACAGAAGGTCCCAGAAAGAATAGGAGAAAAATGTAGAACAAAATTCAAAATTATAAAAAATATCAGACTTACTTGTCTGATAGAGACTGCTGAAAGCCCCGAGACCATGGTTCTTAGACACTCTTCAAACCTGGAACTGGACCCACCCCCAGAGATCACCTTTCAGCCAAACATGTAAATAAGCTATAAAGTAAAAACAGCACTCATGAGGAATATACTCCTCAGAATAATCAACCACACAAGACCAAAAGGGCAGTATTTGCCCAAAAACAAAGCTCAGAAAGCAGAAAGGGGCAGGAAAGAAGGATGAATGGAAGCAGGAAAATGTTGTTACACTGAGGGGATGGCAACTAATATTACAGAACAAAGCGTGTACAGATTGTTAAATGGAAAATTAATTTGCTCTGCAAACTTTCATCCAAATCACAATTTAAAAAGAAATATACAAAGAAAAATATTACAATCTAATAAAAGAAACGAGTATAACCCAATGAGATGACATTTGTTTCAACACCTTGACATAGTAAGTTGCCCACAATTTTATGAAAAAAAGTTATATTTAAAAAAATCATCTCAAGATAAATTCAGATAATTTGATGTTCAAGTAACAAGAAATAAAAGTTGCTAGAAACAGAGATAATGAATAATTAGGCAGGAACCTCCATCAAGGGGCTGCTAGTACACATCCTCAAAATGTACACTTCAAGACCAGAATTAGAATTCTGGTAAAACACAGTCAAACCTACCATGACACTGGTACTTCTTTGAATTTAATCTGCTACTAATATCATTTTCACTTGAACTGCAATGTTCTAATGTTTCTCTTTATCAAAAAGTAGGTAAACATCTCTAAAGATGCCAATGCTCAAAATAATGTTGAAAATTAAGGCATTTGGAGAGTTTGGGTAAGATGGCAGCATAGGCAGAAAGACTGCACAGACTCTCTTCAACAAAGAAAAGGGGAACCAGTTAAAACAGATACAGAAGATAATCGTGGACCCCTCAGCCTTGAAAAGAAGGATATAGAAGTGGACTAAACTCCAACTAGCAGAAGAATTTGCATGAAAACACAAAAAAGGAGACATACGGAGTTGCAGTCTGGCAGCGATCCTGATGGCACAGACAGCTTGGATACTGCTGAGTGGTGGCAGGTTCTAAAAATGAACTTAAAAATCAGCCCTGTTAGCCAGGGACTGCACAGAGGACTGCTCTGGCAGTTGGGGAAAAAAAGGGGAAGCAGTGAAGAGGAAGGTGGGCTGAGCTGTGGATTTTTGCCTGTCTGGAGGGTGCAGCCATTTTGAATGTTTACAAGAGGTTTGACTCTTTTGGATATTTAAAGAGACAGCATTCTTCCACATTCCAGGAACTTAAGAACAGGCCCAACTTGCCGGAAATCAGGGTATTCTGGAAGCAGATGAATCGAAAGGTACAACATTCCCCTTCTTACTCTTATACCCCACACTCTCTTGGTGAATGGAGGTATGGCCATCCCTCACTTCCACCCACCTTCTGGGCTGGCAGGAATTTCATCCCAGTCTGCGTGCTCCTATGGAGCCTAGATGCCCTGCGCTGCCAAGATTTTTTTTTCTTTCTTCTGTTTTTTAGATTGTTTTTGTCTGTTTAAAACTGTTACTATTAATACATTTGTCCTTTTTACTATTATTCTTTGTTCTCCCCCTTCCAGGATCTAGTTTTCAACTTTTTTTCTTTTCCCTGCTCCTAGTTGCACTTTCTTTATCTTTCTGGTGGTTAACCCTGTTCCTTGTTTTTCTTTTTTGCATTTTTCCTATTTTTTTTTTCATCATTATTCTCCTTCTCTAACTTTTGTCTCTTATTGCCCACTATGCCGATATCGCGGTGTTTTCTTTTTTGTTACTGTTCGGTGTGATAACATGGTGTGTTTTTTTGTCCATTTGCTTTACTTTTTTGATGGTTATTTAACTGTTATTTCTGTCTGAGTAGAAGACAGCACCAGCCCTCATATAACACAACAACACCCACACTTCCTGCACCTTCACTTACTGAATGAAAACCACCACTTTCCTCTCCACCAACGAGTCAATGATAAACAACCACCAAGAAGAGACTGACCCACTCTTGGCTACTCTTCACAAACAGTTAACAGACATCTAAATACAACAGCACCATGATGACTGGAGACAACTGACCATCGCAGTCCACACAAAGAAGCAAGATAAAGCAGGAGAAACAAGGGACCAGGATCCAGACCCAGAACATATCCCTGAGGAAGAAGCAGCATTGGAACTCTCTGATAAGGAATTCAAAAGAATTTTTCTTAGGTATCTTCAAAGGATTGAGAGACAAGACCAAAGAAAACACAGACAAAATCCTAGAAGAATTTTGGGAGAAAATACAAGAACAAAACAACAAAATAAATGAAAAATTAGAAGTGATTCTAAATCTACAAATAGAAATGCAGAAGATTAATACTAAGTTGTCAGAAATAGATAACACATTGAAAGGGCAAAGGAGTAGAATTGATGCAATAGAAGACAGATTTAATGACACTGAAGACAAATACCTGAATACTTCTTTGGAAAGAGATCAATCAGAAAAAAGATCAAAATAAAATGAAGAAAGCCTAAGGTTCATGTGAAATACCATCAAAACGAATAACCTACATGTCACTGGAATTCCAGAATAGGAAGAGAAAAATAAAACCACTGAGAATATTGTCCAAGATTTGTTGGAGAAGAACTTCCCTGATATGACGAAAGATGAGAATATATCCATTCAGAAAGTCCAACAAACCCCAAACAGGATAGACCCCAAAAGAAAATCACTAAGACATATCATCATCAAACTCGTCAAAACCAAAGACAAAGAAAGAATCCTGAAAGAAGCACAGGAAAAACAAAAAGTTACTTACAAAGGACAACCAGTAAGAATAAGCTCTGATTCCTCAACAGAAACCATGTAAGTGAGAAGGCAAAGGGATGATATATATAAAACCCTGAAAGAGAAAAATTTTCAACCAAGAAATTATATACCTGGCAAAATTGTCCATCATATATGATGGTGAAATCAGGAGATTTACAGATAAGCAGAAACTAAGGAAATTTGATAAAACCAGACCAACCGTACAAGTGATACTAAAGGTAGTCCTTTGAACAGGGAACCAAAACAGCAAACAACCAACCATTAATACAAAAGCTGACATAACCCAGAAACCACAGCTATGAACATATCCAAAGTAAAATCATCTTACAAGATTGTAAATAGGGAACCAGAGACATCAATTGGCAAGAGAAGACAACTACAAACCAATAAGAGGGAAAATACTGTGTATTAAAGAACTTCTAAATGGTGAGGAAGTCAAGAGAGTTGCAAGATAGAATGGACTGTTCTAAACTTAGGGAGAACATTATAAATCACAGGGTAACCTCAAAGAAAAATGATAAACCTTCATATCACAGTAAAAAAGAGGACAAGGACAAATATTCAGCAAATACTAAAACAGTAGCAACAAAGGAAATGATAACATGGTTCATAAACATAATGAGCTCAGCACAGAAAATAATATGGAACAAAGAAACCAGGGACACTATGAAAAAACACATAACAAAATGACAACAACTAATTTATACTTGTCAATAATTACACTGAATGTTAACGGATTAAATGCAACACTCAAGAGACGGAGAGTTACAGATTGGATAAGAAAACAAAATCTATCAATATGATGTCTACAAGAGACACACCTAAGAGACAAAGACAAAAATACAATAAAAATCAAAGGTTGGAAAAAGATATATCAAGCAAATGGCAACCATAAAAGAGCAGGAGTGGAAATATTAATTTATGATCAAACTCACTTTAAGACAAAGACCACCATACGA